GGAAAGAAGATGAGAATAGAAGGGTCAGCAAGTGAAATAAAACAAGGGCAGAACCTTGAGAGGGCCACTAATCATAATATATAATGAACTGAAGACGATGATTAACTCGGCCCTCCAAGCTTGAGATCAAAAAATACCTTTTACTAGAACAAAACTGGAAAAGGTTTGTGAACATCTCGAAAATTCCCCATTTTTAAATTTTTAACACAAAAGGTAAGAGAGCTCCAAAATGATCCAACAAGGAAGAAACCAGCTAAATTATCATGAGATTATTAAAGCCATCAAAAGTGATTCAGCAGAGGATCACAATGTGGGAAAGGTTTTGTAAAGACCTTTAAGTTTCAAAGAGTCACAACACAAAATTGTGCAGACGCTTTCAATGAAAATGTGTGATAACTGTACCTGGATATGCACTGGACCAGAATGAATCACGGAAAATGCCAATGACTAAGATATTGGACTATATATTTTCTATTACCTATGATCACTATTATAAATATTTGCTAGTTATTAGTGGCTTCTCCACGAGTTGCCAGAGAATTCAAAACAAAGAGTTATCATCATACCACCCAATCACAGGAAGAGTGACAGGATGGGTATGTTTATTTTTTGGTAGAATGGGGTTCACATGAGGGGAAAGGTTGCCTTGTAAGTCTGGAAGAGTCTGTGTTTTGTGTCTCTCTGTCCTGGTGTTGTTTCCTTACAAGCCGTGGTTTAAAAAATTACTAATCCCCTTTCTCATTTTGCTTTTCCCCCCTTGTGTGACCAAAGTTGTTGGAAGACAAAAGTTGCTGGAAACTGGAAAGGTAAATGGTTTTCTAATAATATTAGCCAAAAAGACACTGTTCTTTTGTAGCAAGCCCCTGAGACCACAGCAGTTACTTTATGACTGTTAAGGGCTGGTACTTGAGACTAATGCGAGATTTGGCAACAAAAATATTCGATCTCTGAGCATTCCTAAAGATCTGGAATCTTTCTCTGGCATTTTCACAGATCAGCAGAATATCTCTTTCCTCCTTTCTCTTGCTCCCCCAGCTACCCTCCTTTTCCCTCTAGCCTCCTATTTTGGAATCCTACACCTATCTCAAATCTGAAGATTTTCATTTCCAGCACATTCATAGAATCAACAACACACCACCGGGTACTTGAGATTTAGGGATCCATTTGGCACAGAGAAGTTGTTCTTTGAAGCCACCCCATTTCATCTCATTTGAATCATCTCAATTCTGTAGTGCACTGAATCTGTAGCCATTTCATTGGTCTAATTTTTAATTTCACCTTTGGTACATGTTATATAACACAAGTTAACCAGCCCATCTGAGTTGCCTGTGCCCTTTCAAAAACAGACATCTACCCGTAAGATCACAAGTCACGAAGACATGATCATAAATGCTGACAAGTGAGTACAAAAGATACTCACCAGCATTTTTCACAAACACAACAAAAACCAACTAAAAATAACCTAAATATATAACGATCAGGGAACATTTCCATAATCCATCTAATCAATGGGAAATTGTGCAGACTATGAACATTCCCAAGAAAAGCAAGAAATCTAATCACGTTTTATTGAAGAACTAGACGGAAATAACCCCCTGATAGTTGAGGAGGTTACTATGGTAAGATATAGGTGATATGTCTCCTTTCTTATGCTTTTTTTCATTTTCTGACTTTTCTAGAAATATATATATATATATATATACAACTCTTACACTTGGAAATAAAACTTTTTCAAAGGTCAAACAGGGTGAGTTGTTCCATTGGGATCCAGAGAGCAACAACATAGCATTTTCCCTCTCCTAGGCTAGCTATTAGGAAGTCACTTTCTCCTCTCATTTTAAGGGGAAGGTATTGCCATATTATTAAGTAATCAGACACTGGGGTTCATTCAAGAGCAATAAACTGACCTCTTAAGAGAAAATTAGTGAAGTTCAGGAAATTAGGGCTAGAAACCCCTAGTGGGTGGTATAATGCATCTCTCAAGAATCAGCACCATATACATTATACTTTCTGGTGCAGGCACTTTCTTTTCCATTTAACTGTAAATATTTCAAGGGATTGCAATTTCACTGCTACATTTTAGACCAGACAAAGAGTTATTAATCCATCTTCCCTGGGCAGACTGTAATAACTCCAGCAAACTTTGGGAGGTCCATCTACTCTCTTGCCTGGTGAACCGGCTAGCTGAAAGAGTATCTTAGACCTGGTCCAAATCCTGGCGCTTTCACTCAGCTTTAACCTCAGACGAGATCTTTCAGGTTTCCTCAATTGTAAAAAAGAAATCTCTCCACCTACCTCACAAAGGTGATGAAGGAATGAAATGAGTTATGCATCAAAGGAATGCGTTGCATATACTCTGCCAATGTCTGCTGACTCCAAAGTCATTGCTAAACAGTTGTGTCCTGGCAGAGGAGCTGTGCCATGCTCAGTCAACCCCTTCTTTTGTACTTCTCTGGATGACACAATGGGTTGGAGTGGACAGTACAGTTCATGGCCTTGACACAGAAAAATCCCAGTCGGTGTTCAACACTTGGACTTGATCACACCACCAAGTTAACCAGCCTCAGATCATGAATAGGCTCCAACAGCATCCAGTGGGTCTTTTCATTGTTAGTAAGAGCTGTGCTTGCAACATTGGTCCTGTGGATGAGAAAAAGAGGATGTCTGAGATAGAACCAATAGGGCTTGATGAATAGTTCATATAAAGCCTGAAGGAAAGAAAAGAACAATACCCCCAGTTCCCAACTTGATGGTGAAATGCATGGTTTAGTGACTCAACAAATATCTACCTGCTATCTACAAAGGGCCAGGGATTGTTCTGGGCAGGTTGACACCACAGTGAACCAAGGAGAGGGCTTAGTGAGCTTACTTGCTAGTGGGGGAGGCAGACAATAAATAAGCAATAAGTAAGCAAGACAATTTCTAGACAATTGTGATAACTATGATGATGGAAATGAAAAAGAGTGATGGTATGCAGGAGAAGAGGATAGAGGGTTAATTTAGATCTGAGGCTCAGGGAAGGTCTCTCTCAGGAAGTAATATCTGAGGTGATAGGTCTCGAAAACTGACAAGATGCCAACAGGTGGAGAGGAACACAAGTATTCCAGGAAGAAGGCACAACAGGTGCAAGACTTTGAAGTAGGAAAAGGCTAGAGACATTTGCGAAAGTCTAAAGACTCTAGCTTATCGTCTAGAGAAAGAGCACAATGAACAAGAAAACAAAGTGCAATGACACATGTCACCCCCAAAAACACTTGGTAAAAAACTGTATTGAGATTAAATACGAAGACCTACACTAGATGAATCTAAGGAAAAGTGTGCTCACTCCCTCTCGCTCTGTCTCTGTATCTCTGTCTCTCTCTCAAGAAGTAGTCATGGAACAGCCTGGAGGAACAGCATTTCAGGCAAAGGGAACAGACAATGCAAAGGTTTAGTTGAGAACTCAGTAGAGGGATCTAATTATTAGGTTGATTCTTACTTGATTAACCAATCCAAATAGAGAAGGCCTGGTGGAGAAAGTCCTATTTCATCCTTATGTGTTCACCCAGCTATATTAAGAGCATGCTTTGTACCAGGCACTGTGCCAAATGCTGAAGCAAAGATGAGTAATATGGTCTCCTCTCAGGGAGTTTGCAGTCCCATGAGGGAGGCAGATCACCATATCAGAATAATCCATAAGATAAATGAGAGCACCCCAGTTCATGTTTGAGAAAGTCAAGCAGATGATTCTTTTGTGGATGATGATGAGCAACTGTTTTTGAGACTGTGCGTAATAAAATCATTTGCATTTCTTTGTGATCCCACCAACTCAGAATATCTAGAATTTTGAATGGAATATTTGCAACAATGCATATTGGGTCTGAGACACTGTAGAAGCCACCATGTTTGGGGCAGATAACAGGCTATCAATAGCTGACATTATTGAGCACATAGATTCACTTGCTTGATGTGCAAGCTCACCGAGACTTTCAAAGACCCTATGAGGCAGGAGCTCCTTATTCCACTTTCTTCAGATAAATAAACTGGAGCTCAGCAAGGTGAAGAGAATTCCTGAAAGTCATTAACCCAGACTTGACCATTTCCAGCTGGGTTTGGAGCTTCAGTTCTGGTCCACAGTGCCTTTCTCAGGGTTCTTAGATTTTGGGTGATCTCTGACCCAGGTTCACAAAGCAGACCCCTTTCTCTTCTCCCTATCCCAATTATCCACCTGGGATGTCCACACTAGGACATCTCTCTGCAGAGGCCCGAAAAGTGGTACTGGGTAGAAGAAAAGTCTTTGTTTCCACACTCAGGAAAACGTGGAGGGCAGCTGGGCAGGCCCTGCTGGGGAGTGCCCAGTGTCTGGCTACTTTGGACTTGTCTCCAGGGGCCCTCTGTGCAGAGTGGGAAGGGTGGGTCCCAAAAGCCTCCTTCCTGCCCACCTGCGGGGGTAGAGAAATTACAGCCGCTGCACATTCCAGCCCTGAGCAGAAGGGACTGGGCAGGGGAAGTAAGTTTTGGAAGTCGCGAGGTGCAGTAAGTAGGCTGTCCCCTCTCAGTGTATTCAAATTCAAACACACACACACACACACACACACACACACACACACACGCAAATCAGCTCGTCACCTTCAGCGCATAAGCCGGCCAGTTTGCAACTTCAGGGGACTTCTGCTCCCCAGCCTCTTTCTATTCTGGACTCCCCAGCGCCGAGTCTGGGCGTCTGTCTGATGGCCTTGGGGTGCACCCATCAGGACTGACTTTCCCCAGCTTCTCGGGCTCGCGGGCTCGCTCCCTCCTCCCGCGGCCTCCGTCCTGCTCCCGCGCCCCCCCTCGGGTGCGGAGGCTCCTGGCCCGATCCCCCGGCGCGGGCGGTGCGAGCCCAGGACGCAGAAGGGGTGAGGTCACGTCTCCCTGGAGCCCCGCGCGCCGGCTTTTCAGAGCCTCCCACCCGCCGCGGCCAGAGCTGCAGACCGCGCCGACCTCGCGCTCCTCCGCCTGCAGCGCCGCCGGCCTCGCCCATGTCTCAGTACGCCCCCGGCCCGGACCTCAAGACCGCGTTGGACAGCAGTCCCGAGGCCAACACCGAGGATGACAAGACCGAGGAGGACCTGCCCATGCCCAAGAACTACCTGTGGCTCACCATCCTCTCGTGCTTTTGCCCCGCGTACCCCGTCAACATCGTGGCTTTCGTCTTCTCCATCATGGTGAGTGGGTCGGGGCCAGGGGCCGCTCGGGAGGGGAGACCCTGAGCGCGCTCGACGCTCCCTCCCGACTGCCCCGAGCCCCCGGGGTTCTCTGTGCGCGACACCTCCGCCGGGGCCCTCGGAGCTCTCCCCAGGCACACCCCCCCCCCCGCGCCTCCGCCGAGCTCCCCGGGCGCTCGGAGCAGCCGCCCAGCCGCCCCGGGTCGGCTTTGCGCTCCAGCACCCGGCGGCGCGCCCTCCCCAGCCCGGGACGTTCTCCCGTGGACTCGGCTGCTTCTCTCCCCGCCTCCTTCACGATTCCTGGACGCGCGTCGATTCTTCTCCACCCGCTTGTCAAGAGCCCCAAAGCGCAACGAGCCTCGCGGGCCACCGCGCGCCCGGGTCTCTGGAGCGCGTCGGCTCCGCGCCCTCCATCCCCGCGGCGCCCGCGCTCGCGTTCTCCGGGCCACGGTCTTTCCGCAGATTCTGTTGGTCTTTCTGGCTTTGCTGTGCCCGGGGAGGGCGTCTCGAGCACTCCCTGAGGGCCCCTGAGCGGTTCCCGACGACCTCTCCAAGACCCGCGGCCCCGGCTCTGCCGCGCGCTCTCCCGGGCAGCCGCTGCTTCTCGCCTCCGCTCCGCCAGCCCCGGCCCCTCTTTAGGAGCTGCCGGCGCCAAATCACACACACGCGCTCTCGCCAAAGTGGCTTTTTGGGGGCGGCCCCTGCGCCCCTCTCCCCAGGTGCGCGCTCACCTTGGACTCTAACACGCGCAAACCGCGGTTCCTCCCTCTTTTGCTGCGCCCCAGCCCGCCCTCCCCGCCTCTCTTGGCGCCGGCGGGGCTCCCGGGCGCACCCCCGCCGCCCGGCCCAGCGCCTGGGGAGAGCCGGGGAGTGCGTCGGGCTTAGCACTGGGTCGGGCGCCCGGCGCGCTTTGCGCACGAGCCGCGGGAACTGAGGGCCCCTCCGCAGGGCAGGAGGCCGCTGCTTCCAGGGCGCGCGCTCCGAGCTCGCCTCCGCGACCCTCTTCCGCGTTCCCGGGAACTCCGGGCGAACCCCGGTGGCCGGGCGTCCGGAGCCTGCGAGGCCCCAGCCTTATTGACTGCAGCAGCTGGCCCAGGGGTGGCGGCGGGGCGAGGTTCCGACCGGCCCTGTCCCGGGACAACCCTAGCGGAGCGCTCCCTCCCCCACAGGCCCACCGCGACAGCGCGAGTCTTTGAAACACCCGGGACACCGACTGGAAGTCCGGGTTTAGCTCGGCCAAGTTCTAGAGTCCTTGCACCACATCCCCCATCCAGTCTGCCCACACCCTCCCTCGTGGGGTGGCACCCTACTCGCTTCGTGGGTGCCCACGGACACCTCTCCTGAATCCCGTGTGTAAGCTTTCTGCACCGGTATTCAAGAGCGCAGCCGCCAGACTTGAGAGTACCTGGGTTCAAATCCCCGTTCCGCCTCCAACTAGCTGCGTGATCTGGAATCACTGCATCCCTCTTAACCTCAGTCTTTTTGTCTGTAAAGTGGGACTTTTTATAACCATCTTTCTTGGGTCGTTGTGAATGTTAATGAGATACTAATTGTAAACGGCTTGGAGTAATGACCAGCTGGCCATTTCCTGAGCCTTTCTCTGATCACCCCCCTGCCACATGCACAGCTTTCGCACGCTTTCCCTGCAGCTTTTTGCCCAAAGCACTTGTCTCCATCATGTACTGATTAGTGGGCTTACTGTCTGTGTTCCCTCCTCGGAATATAAGCTCTGTGAGGGCAGGGATAGTTGTGAGTGTTGTTTGTTGCTCTGTCTTTATGACCTAGAAGAGAATCCGGCAAGTGGTAGATAATAAATATTATGAACTGAATGCATGCATGCACGCAGTTTTAGGACCCTGATGTCTGTGTTGCTTCTGGAACTTTTTTCCCATACTGAAGCCCCAGAAGCCACCATATCAAGTTCCTTAGTACCAGCCAGCCAGTTTCCTTCCTTCCTGCCTTTCCAGAGATACCCAGTCTTAGTCGTTTGTTTGTTTTTTCACTGAAGCTGGGAAGATGTAGTGCCAAATTCTCCAGGAGCTACAGGCCATCTGTCTGGCATTGGTGTCCACACTCTATCCTGGTTTATTAATGAATCAGCAGCAAGTCACCCCTTTCCCAGTGCCCCTTAGCAAACTGCCTACAAGGGGTTTTCCCTGTTGGGTCTGCGATGAGCTGACACTACAGCCTGCAGGGACAGGTAGGACACTAATGAAATGGCTTCTCCACTGGGACGTTCTAGGGACGTGTCCATGCTTTAAACAGACTTCTTTTTCTGACCTCTTTATTTCCACCACCCTCCCAACAGTTTTATAGCCAGAGGTCATTCTATTCTATCAATTATGGGCAAGTTTCATATCTTTATGAAGCCTTGATTTTGTCATCTATAAAATGGGAACGTGAAAAATGTTTCAAGTTGTGCAAAACTGTTATAAGAAAGGCAGAATAAAGCATGTCGAGCCCAGAGCACGGTGCTAGGTAATTGTAATCATTGTCAAACAGATGGATGGAGTCAGGAAACAACATGTGTCATATGTGAAAATAAGTAGAACGTCAAAGAAGAGATCCCCAAATTCTAAATAGAGTTTCCGACACCCTCTGCATTGCACCCCCTCTAAACCCTAGAAGTGTGTTCCCATTGAAACAATGCAGTTCTAGGCTTTACAAGTTTCTTGGATGAAATCTCTTAAATCGAGAAAACAGAGGAAGAGGGAGGCAATGAGGAGGAAGATGACTGGCCAACTCTGCCAGGTATGTGCTGCCCCTAGAGTGTTGTGTGATGTTCAATCCGAGCTGTTGTCAGATACCAGCTGTCGATAATTTGTGGTAAGTGTGGCCCACCATTATTGGGAGTGAGACCATTCCCCATGGAGGCATCTGGAAATGTTGGGGCACATCTGTGGTGCCTCAGGGATTTTTTAAAGATTTATTTTTGTTTATTTATGCATACAAGAACTGGGGTGTAGGCCAGAAGTGAAGGGGGTGAAAGGATTCACCAGACACAGAGTGGGGAACAGAAAAGGGGGATCTACTGAAATACACTGCTGAGGGGAGCAACTGGAAAGACAGGAGAGGTCTGCTGCACCATGTGGGTGACGGGCAATAGCTTGATAGTGCTGAGACTTTAACTCCTGCACCACCAAGGAAGCCCTGCCTCAGGGATTTGGGGGCACTGCCGGCATTTCTTGGAAAGGGCTAAGGCTACTAATGTCCTGTTGTGCTGGAGACTGCCCCCTGAAGTGAAGGATTCACCTACCCCAAACATCAAAAGCACCTCAATTAAGAAACACTGTAAAATAATGCAAATTGATATAAACATGGACTTATGGAATATTGACAAAATACTCAAAATAACTAATTCCCAGAACTATAAGAGAGATCCAGCAATCTCAAAACAATATCTTTATTAAACCAAGTCTGAGAAGCCTTCTATAAAATCACAGAGTTGGAGTAGGCACTGGAGAATAATAAAACTACTTTGAAAAAATACATTTGAGAAGAAAACTTCAAAAATAAATGAGTCATATCCTCAAAGAAAGAAGTAACAGGTTATAAAGAAATACAACAACCTGAATTGCAAAACAGAGTTCTTGGGAATTAAAAGTATGAGTGTTTTATTTTTTTGTAAACAGTGAAAGATAAGAAATTAAAGTTGTGTGTGTGTGTATTGTGGATGCCTTTCAGCAGTACAACCCCTGGTGGCGCAGGGGTTAAATCTTAGTGCTATCAAGCTATTGCGAGCCACTGAGGCATGAGTTCAATCCCTGGCCAGGGCTAGCTAACCACATGGCGCAGCAGACCTCTCCTGTCTCTCCCTCAGCTCCCCTCAATAGTGTATTTCATAGATCTTCCCTTTCTACTCCCCACTCTGTCTCTGGTGAATCCTCTTACCCCACCCCCACCTCTGGCTTCCAGCCCAGTTCTTGGATGCATAAATAAATAAAAGAAATCTTTTTAAAAAGTAAATTAAAGTTAAGGAAAGTTCACTTTTCACAAAGGTGGTGCCAAAGCAAAGAAGGAAACCTCTGCCCCTCCCAAAGCAGAAGCAAATACAAAAGCTTGGAAGACCAAGAAGTATCGCTGAAAGGCATCCACAACACACACACACATACACACGCACAAACACACACAAGAAGATCTGCATGGTCACCCACCTTCTGATGGCCCAAGACATGACAGCTCCAAAGACAACCGAAATATCCTCACAAGAACACCCCCAGGGAAGCAAAACTAACCACCATCAAGTTCCCCCTGACTAGTGGGTGAGCCATGGAGAAGATGGAAGAAAACACACTTAAGTTTTTGCAGATGCCAAGGCCAACAAGCACCAGATCAAACAGACTGTGAAGAAGCTCTATGACATTGACAAGGCCAAGGTCAACACCCTGATCAGACCTAATGGGGAAAAGAAGGCATCTGTTCCACTGGCTCCTGATGATGATGCTTTGGGTGTTGCTGGCAAAATTGGGATCTTCTAAACTCAGCCAAGTGGGTTAATTCTAAATATAAATCTTTTCTCCATAAAATAAAAGTTAAGGAAACCTTAAGCAAGTAATACAAAAATCAAAAGGTGGAAAATATGGAAGTAATTCAAGTGTCCGTGGGCAGATGAATGATAAACAAAATGCAGTCACACAATGGAATATTATACAGCCTTAAAAAGAAAGAAAATTCTAATATATGCGACAACATGGATGCACCTTGAAGGCATTATGCTAAGTAAAAAAAAGCCAGTCACCAAGAGACAAATATTGTATGAATCCCACTTAAATGAGGTACTCGAGTAGTCAAATTTACAGACATAAAAGACTGGTGATTGCCAGGAACTGGGGCAAGAAGAGAATGGACGTTATTGTTTAGTGGTTATAGAGTTCTAATTAGGGAAGATGGGAAAGTTCTGGAAGTGGATGGTGTGATGGTTGCACTACACTGTGAATGTTCTTAGTGCCACTGAACCGCATGCTTGAAATGGTTAAAATTGTAAATTTTATTTACAATAA